CCTGCTTTGAACTCCCCTGCAGCCAAAACGCCAGTCCTCCGTCCTGTGCGAAGAACCCCGCCGCTGTCGTCGTCATCTACACCAGGGTTTTTGCTCTGCGCTTCCCTTCCTTTGGGCCACTGGCAGAACGCCCACCAAGGAGCAGCTGGGCAGGACGGCCTGTGGGTGACACGGGTGCACAGGTCTGGGCCGCGCCTGGGACGGCAGGCGGCAGCCAGGCTCCCCCAGCCCCTTGGTGACCCCTTCTGGGCTCATCCGGGTGCACGTGTGCGTTTTAAACAATGTCACTTCAGCTCCTGCCGCGCAGGACAGTTAACTTTTAATAGCCCTTTGATTCTAGATCAAAGACAAAGAACCAGAGAACATTAAAAGCCCTTGGGAAAAAACGTGCTATTTTTGAGCTCCTGTAACTGCTACCTCCGTAGTCCTTGTGCTGCCCTCTAGTGGGTAATGGGAAGCATGTCGCCGACTTCCTGTGGGCGGCGTTCATTCTACAGGAGAGGAGAGCAGCCTTAAACCCGATCGGAGAACCGCTCCGGGCGGGGCCTGTGAGCAGCTTGCACCGCATTTCAGAGCCAGGGGGGTAACATGCAAGAGGGGTCTCGGCCTGGCCTGTGGTGGCCCACAGACCCGTGGAGGCGCGGCGCCCGGCAGTTGGGCGAGGCGGCAGCGTTGGGAGGTGGGGGAAGGCTCAGTGGGGACAGGGCCGTGGGACTGGACTGAGGGAGCTGGACTGGACCCTGGAGTCAGGGCAGACTTCAGGAAGTGGCGGGGGGAGGCGGGTTACCTTTCTGTTTAAAAAAGCGTTCTGATTGCCAAGGTCGTGCGCGCTAGTCGCAGGACTTCTGAGGTGCGGGAAGGTGTCGAGGCTGCGGCAGCCTCCCCGTCTGCCCGCCCAGACAGCCTCGAGCGCTCAGGGGCGGCGCCTCAGACCCCCCTCTGCCCGTGAGCGGCGCGCCTTCGTGTGTCCCGTGCACGTGGGCCGCGCAGCGTGCGCATCGGCAGCCGTGGACTCCCCCACGCGGAACGCGCTCGTGGGGAACCTGCCCTGTCGGCGGCCCCTGGGCCCGACCTCACGGTGCGCGGGCTGGGATGTTTCATTTTTGTTTGGGCTCTTTCCGCACAAAACCCTTGTGTGTAAGGACAAGTCACTCGACGTTCCTTTCCCTCGAATGCAGCGACTGTGGGGAGGGACCCACTGCGCTGTTCCCTACTCAGTGTGCTTTTGCGGTGGGTGGGTCGTGTGGAGAGCGGCAGTGTCTTGGTGGCTTTCAGAATTAGCTTTATTAACCCGTAGCCACTTGGCAGTGAACCCGATTTATCTTCAGAGAAAGAAAGGCGAGTCGGGCGAGTACCCGTGGTCTCAGAATGGAGTTAAGCAGATGGTTTGGTTGACAGCAGCTCCCTGAGGGAGCCGGGCGCTCGCCGAGCGAGCTGGCCGGGCTGGAGCTCCGTGCTGTCCGGCGCCCTGACCGCGCCCTTAACCGGGACAGGACGCCCTGCTCCACGTCCGTGCTTCCTGCTTCTCTCCGAGGTGCTGCCTGTGCTCCTGGGGAGCAGCTCGCGGAGAGCCCCGCGCCCCGCCGGGGCGGCAGGGGTGTCCTTGTGGGCAGATGCGTCTCCTGTTTGTTCTGGACCGTCTACCCGAGACGTGTCACCTCGGTGTCTTCTCACCTGTAGGGTGCACGCGTAACGGGCTCTGTCTCATACGATGGTTTCCAGGAGCAAATCGGGGAGTGGATACGGGCCACTTAGCGTGGTGCCCGCCGCATAGTATGCACTGAATAAAAGTTGGCTCTTAGCTCGTGCTACCACTGTTCTGTAAAAACAATTTTTACGGCCCTCCCTTTGTTGTAAAGCCCAGGCATATTAGGCAACTTGCTCAAAACTTCAGCTGGCAAAGCTTAAGAGTTTAGGGGAGCTTATAAAAGCACCCCTTTCTTCCCAGCCCAATTTTGGAACCAACTGAAAGAGAAATGCAGGAGTCAGAATACCCAGAGCCAAGTGGACGAGCTGGCGTTCGACCCGTGGCCAGACGTGGGCAGAGCGCAGACCGGAAGGGACGCTCTGAGGCGATCTCCCTGCCCCTCCCTCTCGTCAGGTGAGGGCTCAGTGAGAAGGCGGCGTCTGCACCTGGGAAAGGGGCCTTCCAGCCTCAAAACCTGAGACGTGGCGTTCGCTGCCCACGCCGCCCAGCCCACGCTGTGTCGTTAGGGCAGCCCAGACCAACTGAGACGGGGCGTGTCCGTTCTCACTGCTGCTGCAACAAATCACCACCGCCTCAGTGGCTCAGAACAGCACCCGTTTACCGCCTGGTGGTTCTGTAGTCGGGAGCCCGAAGGGGCCTCCCTGGGCTGACACCCCTCCTGGGCTGGGCAGGGCGCTGTTCTTCCCGGGAGGCTCCAGAGGGGAGCCCGCTCCCCAGCCCGGCCCGGCCTGGTGTGTGCAGGCCGCCTGCCCTCCCTCCCTGCTCCCCTCCTCCGTCCTCCCACCGGCATGCTGCCCTCTGACCCTCTGCTGCCGGAAGGGCCCTCGTGGTGGAGACACAGAGCCCGCCTGCCCGCCTGCCTGCAGAGGCCAGGGTCTCTCCTGCTCTGAGGTCCGCTGACGGGCAGCCTGGCTCCGTGGGCCGCGCTGAGGCCCCTTCCGCCCGAGTGCAGCGCAGGATCCTCGCAGGCCGCAGGGCTGGGCCCTGGACGTCTTGGGGGGGGGGCGGCCCTGCTCCGCCTGCTGCGGTGGTGTCATCCCCTGGGGATGTGCAGCGCCCCCCAGTCCTCCCCCGGGGCTCCGCTCTGCACCAGGAACTGCACCTGACAGGCTCTGAGCACAGAGGGGGGCCTTTGCCCCTGGGAGCTTGCGGTCTGGCGAGGGGGAGCAGCCCCTCACGGCTCACGTCGCCGCGGAGGAGCAGGTGCTAACACGGGGCACGTGCACGAGTGGGCCTGGCTGCGCCTGGGCGTGGGGAGGGCGTGGGGAGGAAAAGAGGCTCTGGGAGGAGGGGGAGGACCCGGCAGCGGAGAACAGAGGACAGGGCACCCCAGTGCAGGGGAACCACGTGGGTGGGCGTAGTGGGAAGTCCTGGGACACAGACCTGGGGGTGGGGCGGGGTGGCAGGGTCCGAGTTCACACGGACGGACGTCTGCAGCTGAACTGAGCAGGGCCTGGCGTGCTGTGTTTGGAGTTTGGACTTGACCCCATTGGTTAGGCCCAGAGCTAACGGCGCTGGCTGCTTTCTGGCAGGCCAGCCAGCAGAACCGCTTGCTTTGGCTGCAGCGCAGGTTGAGAGCAGAGCTCACCGCGGCCAGGGGTCCTCGCCGGTCCACCTCCCTTGCTCTACCCGCTCCTGTTGTGTGCCTGGCCCTTCGTCAGGCCGGGCATGGAAACCACAGGAAGTTCCGAGATAGAGTAATTGGGTCACATTTGTGTGTGATGCAGTGAACACTTTGCTTGCACGTCTCTTAAGTTCTTTTCCCAGCAGACTTAAAAGCCAGACTTGACGCTGCAGCTCTAGAGGAAAACAGGAGTTGGGAAAACTCCTGTGGTCTCCAGCTGGAAAGTGTGCGGAATGTGGGCTCAAACGGTCCCTCGGGCCCGGGCCCGTGCACAGAGGTGACACCAGGGGTGAGCCAGGGTCCCCCTCCCAGAGCAGCGAGGCCGAGGCCCACCCAGGGCTGCTGGGCGCGGGCGCCGTAGCAGGCACGGAGGCGAGCCCCTGGCCGGCCGACAGGGAGTCGGACAGACTCGGCCGCCGTCATCTGGGAAACGAATGAGGACTGTGGCCACGCGGAGCTTTCTCTTTGGTTCCTGCCCTGGAGAGGCCTGAGGGCGCTTCTCCGAACTGCCCGCGGGGCTAGCCTAGACTCTGTAGGACATGTAGCCAGGCCCCTCCCGACCTGCCGCAGACCACCGCTGAACGTCTCTCTCGGGAAACACCACTTCTGTGTTCCGACACGTGCTTCCTCCCAGATACTCACTGACCCCCTCCCGTGCCTGGGCCCCTCCCGGCGTGGCTCCGGCCCCCGACAAGCACCCGTGCAGAGAAGTTCAGGCTGAGGACGGGCCGGGCGTAACGGAGTGCCGGCGGGTGGAGCGCAGGAGGGCTGTCCAACACAGAGCAGAGCGGAAACTCGCCGGAGTCGGCCTTGACAGTGGGCCTGCGTGGAAGAGGTGGAAGCCGAGCAGGCCGTCTCAGGCCGGGCCGTGTGTGTCCGCACTAAGTACAGACGGCGCCCCAAGGAAGCTGGCCGAGCGGCGGTCGAGGGACAGAGCAGGCCTCCGGCTTGGCCAGTCGCTCCCTCCTTCAGGAAACACGTCCGTCCCCGCCCTTTCCTCGCCCCTCCCACCCCACCCCACCCCCCACCCCCGCCTCTCTGCATTCCGTGGGCTTTCTCGCGCACAACTCTGTGCACAGTGCTCCACCCACAGCGGGTGCTTCCGAGTCGGCGCTCACGGTGCTGGAGGTCAGCCCGCACGCGCAGAAGCCCCCGCACGTCTCCGTTCCTTTTGTCCCCGTGGCTGGAGGGACGGTGGGGGTTTGCCGTCGGGGTGGACGGTGGCCCCTGGACCCGCAGCTCTGCTGCTCTGCACGGCCCTGTCCGCGCAGGGGAGGCCCCGGCCCACACCCGTGCCCTGTACACCAGCCGTGCCACCCCGGTGAAGACGCACCGGGGAGGAGTCGGCCCTCTCCCGGCACCCGCTGCGTCATCAGTGCCGGAGGCACAGCAGCGCCTCAGGGGGTCTCGGAGCTCCCTGGAGATCGTTCTGCAGACCGCCGCCCGCCGTAGGGCCCAGCGGCCGCAGGAAGGTGGAGCCTCTGGAAAGAGACCGAGGCCCAGGCACGGGGCGACCTGGGTGAAGGGGCTGCACGAGGGTCTGACACCAGAGTTGTCCGGCTTGTGGCTTCACGGTCTCTCTGCACCCTGCCTCTCGTCCTCTGTCGCCTTAAAGTTTACTCCGTGTGACGGTAACATCACTCTAAATTTCTTTTCTTTTAATTTTAGATTTCCCACATCGGGAAACTGAGGGATTTTCTTCTGGAACACAGGAAAGATTATATTAATGCTTATAGGTAAGTACATATTTTTACCATGATTTGCTGGCTGTTCTTTTCCATACCTACATTACATTTTTTAAAAATATACTTTGTCTATTTACTTTTAGAGAGAGGAGAAGGGAGGGAGAGAAATGTTGATGTGAGAAACATCAATTGGTTGCTTCTCAGATGTACCCCGACTGGGGGCTGAACTCACAACCCAGGCATGTGCCCTGACTGGGAATCGAACCAGCGACCTTTCAGTCTGTGGGATGATGTCCACCCAGCTGAGCACACCAGTCGGGGCCACACCTGTATTCTTATCTTTTACTTACTGACTCTCAGAGTTGAAAGGGGGAAGATCAGTTTGGCAATAGGGCCCGCAGAGCACGGGGGCTCCTGCACCAGTGCGGGGGTGGCCGCTGTGCCAGACCCCTGTCTCTGAGTCACCAGCGCCCCCCGGCCGTGTCTCCTGTCCCCATGCCCCCACGCGTTGGCAGCGCTGGGTGCCCCGTCACCTGGTGGACGGCAGAGGTGAGTGAGACAGAGCGTCTCACATTCAGTAAACGGGTGGAGGGACGATGCAAGCCACGTGACGGCGGCCTGTGGGGAGCTGAGCCCCTGCCTCCAGGGAGGGCTGTGGTCGGGGGGATTTTTAAAAAGAGAGAGAGCGTTTCGACCGAGGCTTCCGGAACGGTTTCTGGAGCAGACCCCAGCTCCCACTGGTCAGGGACGCCGCAGGGCGGGTCTCCTGTCTCCTCCTGCGCCCATCTCCCCCCCCCCACCCCCCGCACCCTGGGTTGCGTCCTGTGCTCTGTGAACTCTCGGGGGGGGCGGGGGGGGAGGCGGGTGGACCTCGGACGGGACGCCATGTGGCGCATCTGGAGGCCCTCCTCGTCGGGGAGCAGCGGTGTCCGCACCGCAGAGCCCATCCGTCCTCTCACGGAGCGGGACAGCAGGAAGGGGACGTTCTGGCGTTTTTCAGAAACCTCGTCAGTGGACACACAAGGAACCTAGTTTGTATAAACTCTTTAACAGAGAAAATAGCTATGCCTCAGGTGAATTTTAGATAGTCCCTGCCACTTTGTTTACTGAAACAAGCAGGCAGATTTACACATTCCAGTGTATTTCGTTTGTATAATTTAAAAATATACTAAAATTATTATTCTAGCCAATAGCAGAAGTTACTCTAACGCATAGTACCAAGAAGTCCTTATTTTTTAAGTTTAGCTCAAAGAGTCGGCCAACACTAGGTGGCGGTGTGAGTTGCATTTCTAAACGTGTTTGTGTGCTGAGTACCGGTTTCACAGTCCGGTTTCACGGTCCAGTCCGCTAGAATGGGAGTCACTCTGGGAAACTTCCTCATGCTGGTCTCAACCTCCAATCCTGGGCCCCTGTGTTTGGCCCCTGACAACACCGGCCCCCCAGTGGGGGGCTGGGAGGAGCCCTTCCCAGGAATGCCCTGCTCACGTCCCTTTGCCTCGGGGGAGGCGTCCTGCTGGTGGAGGCGTTACCGTGGCCTCGGCTCCGGCCGCCTCATTTGACCCGGGAAACCCCGTGTCCTCCTCCAAACCAGGGCTCAGCACGCTGCAGCCTGAGCCTATGCAGCCTGCGCACGAAGAACAGCTTTTACACGTTTAAAAGGGGGGGGGGGATAATAACGCTTCACCACACGTGGAAATCATAGGAAACTCGGAGTTGAGTGTGAGCTAACAAGGGTGCCTGGAACAGCACCGTGTCTGTTCGGCGGCGAATTTCTGTGGCTGCCTTGGCGCTGTACCAGCACAGGTGAGTGGCCGTGGCAGGCCACAGGGCCCACAGTGTCACATGCTTACAGACTGCGCATGTTTGCGGAGCCCTGCTTGAGGTAATCGGGGTGATAGTCACTTGCCAGCTAGTGGGGAGACTCAGCTAAGACAATAGGAGTTAAGCCCTGGCTGGTGCAGCTCGGTGGACTGAGTGCCGGCCTGTGAACCAAAGGGTCACCGGTTCAATTCCCAGTCAGGGCACACGCCTGGCTTGTGGGCCGGGTACCCGGGGGGGGCGCATGAGAGGCAACCACACACTGATGTTTCTCTCCCTCCCTTCCCCTCTCTAAAACTAAGTAAAATCTTTTTAAAAATGACAACAGGAGTTGAAATGCAGTGCAAAAAGAAAAAGCACCTGATTGATAAAAAGGACTGCTGTGTCAGGGTGTTATTCTGAACCTCTGAGTGTAGCAGAGTCACTGGGGCGGCTCGGGGACAGCACAGCTCAGCTCCCCCCCAACCCCAGTGTCTGCAGACCCCGACAGCCAGCCTCCCTCCAGCGCCTTTCCCTCCGCCAGCACCGATGGCAGCGGACGCTGGGGCTGAGGGCCAGGGTTCCTGGGGCCAGGCCCACTCTGCCCTCCGCTGGCTGTGCGACCTGCGTGTCTGGTGGGGCTGCAGCTCCTGAGGCTCTCCTAGTCTTGACCCGCCTCTCGTCCCTTTCCCAGCCGGCGAATGTCCTCTGAGTTCCATCCCTAGCCCCGTGTTCGGTCCTTCTGGAAGAGCAAGGGCCCTGGGGCCGTCACACCTGAGAGCCAGCGTCAGCTCCGCCAGGTGTTGGTCACGTGGGTGCACGCAGCTCACTCCACGGCTGCCTCGGGCTTGTTGGCTGGTTTGCAAACTGCGGGCCGTGTCCTTAATGAGGGTTACGTGTGAGGGCTCTTGGCACACGTGAGTCCCATGGTGAATGGTAATTGAATTGGAATACCCTTTGACCTATGATGCAGTTGGGGTGGTCGTTTAAAAAAGAAAGCACCTCTGTTTCCTGCCAGAGGGAGGTGGGAGGGGGAGCAGGAGAGAGGGCCGGTGCAGGAGGCAGGTGCCGTCACCGGGAGGGAAGTGCCGTCAGTTCCACCCCCAGCAAAAGCTCAGGTGCCGGCCGTGCTCGGGCCTGCGGGTAGGCAGGCGGCCCTGATGAGGGAGGGCCTGAATTGTGCAGCCTCACGTGGCCACGGGGGCCACGGAGCAGCCCCAGCACCCTGGGCACAGACAGCAGGGGCGGGTGCCTGAAGAGCGGACGAGAGGGGGTGCAGCACAGAACCTCTGCCGTCCAAGCAGGCAGACCCCAAAGGGCGAGGAGGGGGAGAGGAGCTGTGGCCGGCACGTCCTCGTTCTGCCCGGTCCTTCTGCCCAGCTGCCAGTCGGGGGAGCCCTCCCCTCCCGGGGGCAGGGCGGGGGAGGGGAGGGAAGGAGGCTGGGGTCACCCTCAGGGAGGTGACGGGCGCAGAAACCCCACGGGGACTCGGGGGGCCTAGGGGAGAAGCAGTGCCCTCGGTGCCTGCAGTCTGTTCAGAGGGAGGGGGCCGTCCTGCCCTCCTCTTGTCCCGGCGAGTCCTCCTGCCCAGGCCCTGGGCTGCCGGAAGCCTCTCTCGTCCGCCCGCGCAGACACAGACCTGCCCCCGTCTGGTAGACGGGCCTTTTCCGCAACATCCTGGCGACAGGACTTTCTTGGCTTCTGTTGTCACCAACAGGATAACCGTACTGTTGTTGGTTCCCAGCTGAGGAGGTTGAAGTGCAGTGTGTCCGAAGGGAGCACCGCTGTGTGACCAGTGTTGTCAGGTTGACCCTTAGGCCTGTTCCGTCTCAGCGAGCTGAGGTTCCACTGAGTCGGAACGTAGCACAGGAAGGTGTTCCTCCGACGCTCTTGGAGTTGGTCGTTTGCAGGCACCTCTCTGTCTGCCCCGGCCCTGTCCGCCTTCCCGTCTGATGGGATCTCTGGGTGCCTCCCCCTCGGCCCGCCTGGCACCCGCTCTGCACGAGCTGGTCGCTCCCCCCGCGGGTCCCACCTCCCCGTCCAGTGTCAGTCTCCCCGTCTCACGGCACGCTCTGGGGGGGGGGGGTTCAGAAATGAGCCTTGTTCAGCTGCGAACCCCTGACCCCTGCCGCAGCGCTGGCTCTGCGGAGGGGTGTGTGTAATTGAGTCCGTGAATGAACCGTGAGGACCAGACACGTGCACGGGAATGGTGCCTGGTAAATGTCAGGTGGCCAGCTCGTGTCGGCACACCTGCTCGTGCGAAAGCGTGCGTGCGGTGGCCGCCCGTGGTGCTGCGTCCGGGCTTGGGGTCGTGATGGGGCCTCACGGGCTCCGCCCGCCCCATGCCCTCCTCGCCCTCCCTGCACGGGGCTGCCGGCTCTGGTCTCTGCGGGGGCTCCGTGTGCCCGCCAGCCTTCCCAGTGGGTCCCACCGTCCAGATGCCCCCTCCCCTCTCAGCCTGGCCGGCCCCCGCCCCTGCAGGTCTCAGCGGGGTCACTTCAGGGGCGCTCGTCTTCCCTTCGCACCCCGTGCAGACGGCGGGAGGTACTCACCCCCCCCGCCCTTCCCTCCTGCCGCTCACCCCTCCCCTCCCCCCCCAGCCACGTCATGTCTGAGCACGGGAGGATGACAGACACGGAGCGGGACCAGATCGACCAGGACGCGCAGACCTTCATGCGGACCTGCTCGGAGGCCATCCAGCAGCTGAGGACTCAAGGTGAGGTGTCCGGGGACGCGGCGGGCAGCCAAGACTGCCGCCTTCCCGGCTTCCGACGGCACAGCCCCCGGGGTGGGGGGGGTGGTCATCTCGTGCGCCCGTTTGGGTCCAGGCTTCAAACCTGTGAAGTCTCTCCTCTCCTGGTCAGGGCTTTAGCCTGAGCTGTCACAGTAACAGAGAGGCCGCAATTCCAGGCACCTGCACGGGGGGAGGGGGGTGGAAAAGGACTCTCCAGACAGGACTGGAAATGGACTTTGGGGCCAGGGGCACGGGAGGCGGGCGCGCGGGTGTGCACGCACACGGGTGTGCGTGATGCCTGGGCTCCGTGGGGCGTTCCCTCGGTCCGTGTGGACGGCCACGAGCGAGGCCAGTCCACACCCTCTACTCGGGCTGTGAGGTGAACGCCAGGCTCAGGCGCCCACGGTTCGGGGGAAGGCTCCGGAGCCGCCCTCTGCAGCGGGTCCGAGTCTCCCGGCCTCGGGCCGGCCTCCCGATGGTGCCGGGCCTTGTTCCTTCCCTGGACCGGGAGGCCATCGCAGGGCACAGCACGCAGGGCCGCTGTGAGCGGCGAGCCCTCGCGGCGCGCCCAGGACCCTGGCGGGCCCTCCTCCGGTTGTGTCCCCTCACTGTCGGTCACCGTGTGCGAGGCTGACGGAGGCTCTGAGGTGGCTTCCCAGGCCACCTGTCCCCCTTGATTGTGTTTTCGTTTGCTTGGGCAGATACAGAATGCGTTCAGCAGTGTAGAGTTCAAAGTGACCAAGGGCTGCTGCGCCCTTGACACAGACTTTCGTCTGGGAGCTTCCATTAGAACCCCGGAGCGTCGGATGAAAGCCCAGTGTCACGGGCCCTCCGAGTCCCCCACCTGCCCCCAGGTGAAGGGCATAAGCCACGCCCCCTGCCCTTACGGGTCTGCACTGACAGGTCCTGGAAAAGACACACAAACATTAACAAAACCAGGAGTTAGTGCCAGCGCCTGCACCCCGGGCTCCTTGTTGCCGCAGAACCTTCGCTTCCTCGTGTGTGAAACCAGCACAGTCAGAGTAGCCGTTTGGATGGTTTTGATGACCAGCAGTGACGTGTGTCGAGTATTTTACTGGCAGCCTGCACGTAGTAGGTGCTCATCCACGCCATTACTGGGAGCTGCCCTGTCAAAGTAAATGGCGCAGACTGTAAGAAGATGTGGCGGTGTGCAGACGAAAGGCATCCCTGTGGGTGGGAGTCCAGGGAGGTCCCACCCCTCATCTGCTGACATGGGGTGGTCGTGGCCAGGGGGAAGGGCGGAGCCTCCCGGCTCAGCACTGCTCAGGCTGCGCTGCGGCGGCGGCAGCGGGCCTGCGAGAGTGATTTCAGTGTGTTACTGAAGGTCAGCGGGAGCCCTGGGCGCCGCTAACACGAGCGGGTCAGCTCTCAGGAAGTGGGGCGCTGTAAAAACTGTGGAGCCCGTGGCTGTGGTTTTCTGCAGGTTTAATCTCTCACTCCCTTACAGCCTGATAAGTCGTCCTCTTCACAAAACGTCCTGTCACTTGGCCCCCCACTGTCTCAGAGCTGTATTTTAAGGAGTGCTTTGAATGCAGCAGTCTCCCTGAGGAAGCCGCCGACTGCTTCCCCCGCGCAGCCGAGCGTGGCGACCTGAGTGAGTGCGGCGACCTGAGTGTCCTCTTTCCTCTGCAGCCCTCAAGGAGCTCCAGTCCCAGCAGGTGAAGGAGCACCGAGGCGCCGTGGTGGACTTCGTCGAGGACTACTTGAAAAGTACGGCATCGCAGCGTGGCGGCCAGCGCGGCATTCACACTGGCTGGGGCGCGCGGTTTAGCTCTGCCGGCTGAAGACCGTGGTGTCTCACTGTAGCTAATGGTCCCGTTGCCTGAGAAGCAGTTTTGAATGGTCTGTTTTCTGGTGTTTTCCCTCCAACAGGAGTGTGCAAACTGTACTCAGAACAAAGAGCCATCCGGGTGAAGCGAGTGGTGGATAAGAAAAGACTGTAAGTATTGTCTCTGTCAGGCTCCATGATTAATCCCGGGGACAGCATTGATGATGATGATGATGGTGACAGTTACAGCGCAGGTCCCTTGGCGCCATAATGCTGGGGTGTCCGCACAGAACGCCACAGCCACTGCTTGTTGGGCTCCTCCGTGTGTTAGGCCCGTGCTAGACTCCCAGCTCGCAGCCACCCCCCGGCCCCTCGCAAAGCAGGTCACCTGTTCCCCTCGTTTTATAGGTGAGAGTCCTAATTGTTCTAATTGAAATAAAGAACAATTTACAGGGAAACAACAGTAGAGTGGATGAAGCTGAGAATCAAATCATAGATTTGGAAATAAGGAAGCAAAAAAAACAACCAGTCAGAACAAGAGGAAAAAGAATCCAAAGAAGCGAGGATAGTATAAGCAGCACCTGGGACAACTTCAAGAGGTCCAACATTGGCATTATAGGGGTGCCAGGAGGAGAAGAGAAAGAGCGAGAAATTGGAAATCTATTTGAAAAAAAAAAAAGAAAGAAAATTTCCTTAATTTGGTGATGGAAATAGACATGCAAGTCCAGGAAGCACAGAGTCCCAAACAAGTTGGATGCAAAAAGGCCATCTGAGACACATCATAATTAAAATGCCAAAATTTAAAGAGAGAATCTTGAAAGCAGAAAGAGAAAAGCAGTTAGTTACCTACAGTGCCATTCCCATAAGACTGTCACCTAATTCCTCAAAAGAAACTTTGCAGGCTACAAGGAATTGGCAAGAAATATTCAAAGTCATGGAAAGCAGGGACTCACAGCCAAGATTGCTCTACCCAGCACAGCTGTCATTTAGAGTTGAAGGGCAGATAATGAGCATGCCATACAAGGAAAAAAACAAAGGAATTTATGATAATCAAACCACTATTATATGAAATGTTAAAGGAGCTTATTTAAGAGAAAGATCAGAACTATGAACAATGAAATGGTAGTAAATATGTATCTATCAACAGTTGAATCTAAAAAACAACAAACAGGAACAGGACAGTGTCATGGGTACGGAGAGCATTCTGATGGTCGCCGGATGGGAAGGGGGTGGGGGAATGGGTGAGGGGAGGGGACGAAGAAGCACAAACAGGCAGTTACAGAAGCGCCATGGGGGTGCCAAGTCCAGTACAGGACATGGAGCCGCCAAAGAGCTTACGCATGACCCAGGGACGTGGGGGGGTTGCCTGAGGGCATGGGGGGTGCTGGGTGGAGGAGGGCAGAGCGGGGAATCGGGACAAACGTAATAACGTAAGAAGATAATTTTTTAAAAAGCCTTCCCCTTCGTGAACAGTCAGTGCGCAGCCCAGAGCGGGGCTGAGGGAGGTGGGCACGTGCAGCGGTGGGGGGCGCGCTTCCCAGAGCAGGTCAGGCTCGGCACGGGCCCCGGGGCCCCAGCGGGCGGAGGGCTGGCGGTGCAGACGGCGGGGGGGCTGTGCACGGAGGGACTGGTCGGATAGCAGCTGCTGTGCGAGGGTGACAGGAGCCGGGTGTCTCCCTGCTGGGGCGGTGAGAGGAAGAAGCCGGAACGGACCCCGTGGTGGCGGTGGCTGGGAGTGGAAGACACTGGTGTGCACTCACGGCCTGCGGTTTCCGTGGGTAGACACAGATGTGGCGGCAAACGTGTGTGTGCAGGTGTGCAGGCGCAGGGGTGTATTTTCTAGCGCTGTCCACCGAGAGGGCCTGGGCCCTGGGGTGCCCCAGCGGCAATACGCACACGTAGCCCTTGGGGTCTCGGCTTCTGTATGGCAAGTTCAGCTTCCAGGAACCAGGGCTCCCTGGAGAAATGGCCGATTCTGGGGCCGGGCAAGTATACAGTGACCCTGGAGCATTTCGTCGCACCAGAAAGCAAGGAAGGTCGCAGAGAATGAGGGGACTTGTGAAAAGGGCATGAGCCATTTGAAGGGGCTTCTCCCGGCCGACCTGGAGACAGAGCGTCCACGCCGCTGGTCGTAGCCGGTTGTAACCCACTGCACAGAACAGGGCATCGTGCGTCCTTCTCGCCAGAAATAAGTGAGTGACCAAACTGAAAGTTTGAAATTGTTCATTACCTAGGGCCAAAGCATCCCCTGCCCCCAGGCGTTCATGGTTGCAAAGCGGGAGGGAGTGACTTCTCGGTGGGGAGGCGGGGCAGGCACCGCCTCCTCCGGGCTGTCCCAGAGCACCGGCGCAGCTGGTCAGGAGGAGGAAGAGGGGAAAAGTGCGCAGAGAATGCCGCCTCCTCTTCGGTGCAGAGGCACGGGACCTGAATCCGACCGCGGGAAAAGGCCGGCCAGACTCAGACCGAGGGTGGCCTGCTGGCCATGTTTGGCTTTTTTCATTTCTTTTTCTCTCTCCAAGAACATAATACGTCTTCTCATTCATTATAGTGTTTTTTTGTATCTTTTAAGAACACCTTTTAGTTTTTCACATAGGGGTTTTGGACTTTTTTTGTTAAATTGGTTAATGCTGCAGTTTTTATTTTATTTTTTATTGTTGGCGTTTACCTCCTGTGTGGGCGTTGCACACGGAGTCTCTGCCACCGTGCCTTCCCGGCACCGAGGGTGCGGGGCCCCGTCGCTGCTCCCGCCCCGTCGGTGGGGCTGCGGAGAGTGTCTGGGGCCACGGCACCGTGCGTGTCTTCGATGCCCACGGCAGCGGGGCACATTTTCCAAAGGAGGCCACAGCAGACCCACCCCCGCCCGCCCGCCCACGAGGTCTGCTCAGGATTCGATGTTGTCACTGCTCCACCGAGAGGCTGAGGCCTCTGTCCCCTCCCCTGGAGCCCGGGTGGGCCGCTGCACCCAGCCGGGCCGTGGAGCGGGGCCGGCAGGGCGGCGTGTGGCTTCTGGGCGGAGGTGTGGAAGGCGTGGGGGCCTCTGCCGAGTGGGCCTCCGAGACTGCTCCGGGCGGGCCAGCTGCCCTGCGGTCACACACCCGGGGCTCCCCCGGGCGTCACCCCTCCGGTGGAGCAGCCCTTGGGACCGTGTCAGCCGACACTGGTCGCATCTTCCTCTGAATGTACGTGGTTCTCTTTGCTCATGGCCTGGCGGCCTGCTCCCACAACTCACCGCAGATCTCGGCACTCCACCTGTAATCCCGTAGCCCCGAGTGGGTTCCCGGGAAGCCGTTACGGGGGCTGGTGTTTCACAACCAGGGCTGCTTCTCTCGCGTTAGCCTTTTACCGAAAGGGGTAACGCGTCCACTCCTTCAGCACGTGGTCACTAAGCACCGAGTGCCGGGCACTCGGCCAGACCTGGACCCAGCCCACAGGGCGCACAGAGTCCGGGACCTCGCCCTGAGTGTGCGCCGTGGGGGCCAGACGGACGAGAAACAGACGGTGGGGTCGTCCCGGACCGGGGGGTCGTCCCGGACCGTAGCGGCTGTGCGGGGGAGGACAGGCGGGCGCCCCAGTGCAGAGCAGCGGGAGGAGGCTTTTTCAGTTCCTGAGACAAGTTGGTTCCATCCAATGGATGTTTAAGGTCTCGTTCTTTCATATTTAAATCACTGTAAGACACCACTTTCCCATGTGTTGTGTAAAGGGTGTGTGTGTGTGTGTGTGTGTTCAGCAGCACTCTGCACTGGCGGGAAACAGCCGACAATCTGCGTGGGCTGAACGAGAAGGAGGCAGCCCGCGCTGCCCGCGTGCTGAGCCTGGTGTCAGCGTGTGGGACGCCTCCTGCGCTCTTCCCTCCCTTCAGCCCACGCCGGCCACGCCCCCTGCGCGCTGTGGCCGGGGTGCGCAGTCCCCGCCCTGCAGGCCGTGACTCGGGGCCTTGTAAGGAGCGCCCGCTGGAGGCGTGTGGGGGCGGCCCCTGGGCCTAGAGGCCGTGGCTCTGCCCCGGCAGAGGGCACAGGACAGGCCTGCCGGGGTCACGTGGGGCTCCCTCCTGTGGTCGAAATGGGATTTGGTTGCTTCAGCAAATTGTGTGGCTGCTGGTTATTTTTAGATCCAAGCTGGAACCGGAAGCAAATCCAAAGACCAGAGAAGCCACGTCCTCTGAGAAAGTCTCACAAGATCCTTCACAAGAGCCAGAAGGAAAACCCGCCCCCGAGGAACAGCCAGGTGCGCGTTAGACTCAGCGTCCTGCCTCGCGACCCGTCCTTCCGTCCCGTCCTTCCGTCCCGTCCTTCCGACCTGCCTCGCATCCCTGCCTCGCGACCCTGCCTCGCGTCCCTCCCTGCCTTCCGTCCCGTCCTTCCGACCTGCGGGCACAACACAAAGCAGGCGGAACGGCGCCCGGGCCCGGGCCCGTGTGCTGTGTGTCCTCACCTGAAGCCGAAGGGACTCGGCAGCGGCCTTTCCCCCGTCACAGTGGGCCTTGCTGGCCGCTGCTGGGACCGGGTGGGGGGGTGCCCCCACCGCCGGGGCACTGGCAGGCCCAGGAGCGGGGGGCCTGCCTGACGGGGCCGCACAGCACGGGCGGCCCTGGGGACTCGGGAAGAGACGTCGGAGGTCTCTGCCCAAGGGTCGTTGCGTGTGTGTGTCAGGAAAGGGGGCGCTGCCTCCCTGCCCCCAGTTTTGGGGTGCTGCCCTGTGTTCTGGGGCAGCGGGAACCCACGAGTACTACTCGGGGGCCAGGAAGCGTGGAGAGGGGTGTGGGCGGAGCCAGGGAAGAAGGCCCCTTGGGTGAAGCGCGTGTGCGGGCGGGGGCAGGAACGAAGGTTGGGAAAGGGGGGGGCGGGGGGCAGACCGCGGTGGGGCCCTGGGTGCCGGCCCCGGCGTCTGGCCTTGGCGTCTGGCCTTGCCTGCTGGCCTTGCCGTGCCGGCCTGGGCAGAGACCAGCACCAGCGAAGGCAGCGCCGGCTGATCCCCGAGCACGTGTCAGCGTGGCTCCCGGGGCCCACGGGGAGCCTGTTGGAATGCGAGCTCCCTTAACTAACCCTCCCCTCGCCGTCCGGCTCAGACATGACCTTCGCTTGCCTCTGGGGCGAATGGTGTTTGTGTTCCTAATTTCACACCCTTAAAAAACATAAAAGCAAAAGCTTGACACGGATGCCCTGATGAGGCCCCTTCGGAGACAGCGGGCCCTGGGGGCGGGGGGCGGGGGGAAAGGAAGCGCAGGTACTCGCCCTGGAAGAAGGCCGTCTCCGAGAGCCCCGCGTCGGCTTCCAGAGATGCTTCCCGCCTGTCTTCCACAAATACACCTTGTCTCTAGGTTACGCAGGTACTTCACACGTGTGCAGACTGTACAAGATATGTAACTATGTCTCTTACAAATACGGTAACAGTTCTGGGGGAAAAGCCACACAGCTAGTTTTTACGCACTCGCCAGGGTCGCAGGCAACTCGGAGGTTTGGGTGGTGATGGGGCCCGGGCAGCCGTGCCCTGCACGCGGCCGCCCGTCGGCCTTCTCTAGGTCGGTGTATCGCTGCGCTCCTTCCCCAATCGGCCTCAGAACACACATTCTGGGCGCTGTGCATCTCCAGGGGCGGGCGGGGATCAGCTGTGGGAAACTTCCTGAGATTAAGAAGAAAAGAAATCAGCGGCACCTGCCTTGGAGTCCATAAAAGGTCTGGCCCTAGGCTGTTCACACGCTGCCCGCCAGCCGCTCACGCCAGGGGTCCGAGCTGGGGTCCGCCAACACGCGCACAGCTCGTACCGGCACCCAGTGCCGTGGTCCGGGGAAAGCTGAACAGCCGGGCCGTCAGCCGGCCGTGGTTACGTAAGAGCAGAGGGCGCTCGCAAGGGAGCACTGCGCAGTGACTCACGAGAATGGCGGGCGTCTGCAGCCATGCAGGGCGGCCTCCCAGACACGCGTTAGGCCGTGAAAAGCACGTTTTAGACCAGTCCGTGTGAGCGCGCTCAGACGGAGTCTCGAGGCCACGTCAGAGCGTGACAGAGGCCGCCTATGGGAGCGGAGGGATAGGGGCCATTGGTTCCTGCACCCCCTGTGTGCGTGCGGCTTTTTGCAGTGAGAACGCCCAGACGCTTCCGTTCTTCCAGAAGCCGAGGGGGCGTGTGTGTGGGTTCTGAAGTGACGTGCAGGGGAGGCCGGTCTGGAAGAACTGCCGAGGTCAGCGCAGCACTGAACCTCCACACGGGTCCCTCACGCCTCCCCCACATGCGGGCTCACACACACACACACACACACACACACCAACCAGGTGCACACGTGCATGCAAACCTGCATGTGCGACACACAGACATGCCCGCCTGAACACTGCGGCAGAGCCGCGCTGCCGTGCCCGGGTGTTGGCCGACGGACAGACGTGAGGTTCTTTTCCTTCCCGTGTCCGTCATGTCTGCTGGTTCTAAAGTGCGTATTGTGCCTTCTGCTTAGTTTTAATTTTTTTTTAACAGAAAAGGCTCCAGCTGAAGCGCAGCCCGAGTTGGGAACCTGGGGAGACGGCAAAGGTGAAGATGAATTATCCCCAGAAGAAATACAAATGGTAATGCTGTTCTCTGCCTAATCGTTTATCTTTAACTAGTTCTAGCGAGAATATCCACTGAGTAGGAGGTCATCCTAAATACCCTTGCCTTGATCTTTATACTGAGCTTTAAAAATTATATTTTAGATACAATTTGTCCACTAGGTTTTCTTTTTTTTAAGATTTTATGTATGTATTTTTAGAGAGGGGAAGAGAGAAACATCAATGTGTGGTTGCCTCTCGTGTGGCCCCTACTGAGGGCCTGGCCTGAAACTCAGGCATGTGCCCTGACTGGGAATCGAACCGGCAACCCCTTGGTTCACAGACGGACTCTCAATCCACTGAGCCACACCAGCCAGGACTGCCCACTGGGTTTTCTAATTCTTTGTATGCTTTATATTTTAAATTTCTAGTAACATAATTAACAAAGAAATTGCCGTGGAACAATTTTAGTAATGTTAGTATCCTTTCAGCAGCAGTAAAATATTTTCGAGACTAAGTGGTCTTTTATAATAGCTGCTCTGCTGCCCTTTAAGTGCTCAAATCGCTGGCGTCATGGTGACGTGAGGACAGCGTAAGTGGTGACTGAAAACCGCACTGCAACTGCTTCCCTCGCCCCGTTCCGGCTCCCTGTCCTCCGGCCGCCACGCGCCGTAGTCTGCCAGCTCGGGCTGGGTCTCCAGAGGGAGCCGACAGGGTGCCAGGAGCCCCGCCAGTCCCTGGACAGCGGTGTGGCTCCTCCGGGCAAGGGCGTGATGCAGCCAGGCGGCCCCCGGGCCCCGGCGGTGGGGTGTCCCCTGGAACACTGCCCTTCACCTCTGAGCTGAGAAGCTGGCTCCCACACAGCGGCGTCCCGGGGGGTGTCCCTGACAGAGGCTGGCACCTCCGTCTGCGCAGCAGTCTGCAGGGGACAGAACTTCTAGTGCGCGTTCTCTCTGTGACGCTCTTAATGTGCACAGTAAGGGGGGGGGCGTGGCCGTCTCCTTTTAACTTCGGTGGAAAGCAGTGAGGGTCCCGCCCAGGCCCCTGGTTGGTCAGGGCAGCACTGAGGACGACTGTGGGGGGGGGGCACGTTTCCACCCCAAGTCTGATCGGGAGGGGAGTGGAGCACCGCTCCCGAGCTCGGCCGGCTAGGAAGGGCCCGGTCTCCGCCCAGTGCGGGCCTCCCCGACGCAGGCACTCGTGTGCCCGGGCTCCTGCTCCTCATGGCTGCCCGCACACCTTTCGGGGCTCACGTGCCATGTGCCTCAGGGAGGCCCTCCCCGGCCACCCCACCGGGGCTCTCCCGGGACGGCTGTGGAGGGTCTCAGGAGAGAGCCTGCGGACCCTTCTGCGGAATAATAAGCAGAGCTGGCTTGGACCTCTGTGGGCTGGGGTGCCATGTCCTCATGGCGGAGATGCCTTCAGGTAGCCCGCCAGGCCCCGCCCTCCCTCCAGCATCGCTGGTCTCCCGGGATGCACCGGATGCGGATGTTTTCACACCGACGGCCGGGGCTCCCGGAGTGCCCGCCGCTCCGAGCTGGAGCGGCGCCGTGGTGATTCTGGAGGAGGGATCTCAGAGGCTCCTGTGCGGGTGTCCTGCTGGGCCGTGCCTTTGGCCGCGTCACTTTTGAGACTTGAGCTCAGTGTGACGTCATCTTTAACGCGTGTGTTTCCTCGCAGTTTGAACAGGAAAACCAGCGCCTCGTCGGCGAGATGAACAGCCTGTGCGACGAAGTGAGGTACGGGTGTCGTGCCCGCCTGCGTGCGCGTGCACGTGCGGCCTCCCGTGCGGCTTCTGCGGGACCGCGGGCCTCCCTTCACTCACTCTGCAGCCCCGCTGCCCGCACGTGGCTCCCGGGCACCGAGCAGCCCCCGAGCCTTGAGGGGCCCCGGCACCCACTGACTCCCCTCAGCTGTGGGTCTGCTGTCTCCAAGGTGAAGTGGGGCCTTGAGAGGGACCGCTGGCAGAGGGCCGCTGCCGCCTGCAGGCGCGGCCCCGGGCCTGTCTCCCAGACCCCCAGTGAGCTGCAGCACAGGAGGGGAGGGCCCCGCCGAGCCGCCAGCGGCCCATGGCCCCGGGGGTGTCCAGCCTCCCGAAAGGAAGGCCCGGAGCTCTCGCTGTGGCGAGAGCTCATCCCAGCAGAAGTGAATCCTGGGCGCTGTGCCCACCCTGCCCTGGGGACGGAGCGCAGGGCCCCCCCCGCCCCCACCCTCGAGCAGAGTGCTGCCCGGGCTTCTCCGGGCTATCCCTCCGGGGCGGCTGCTCCGCTCCCCTCGCTCTTCGGGTCAGGACTCCTGCCCCCAGCTGGCCCGCCTGGGCTGGGCACTGCCCGCAGCCTCTGGCCGCCTGCCGCCTGTCACTGCTCGTGCAGGGCAGTGGATCGCTCCAGTGCCCCTTCTAGACGCCCGCCAGCCCGGCGCCCACCCCTGCTGCCCGCCCCCACTCGGGGGAAAGCGCCGACCTCAGATGCGAGGTCTGCAGGCAGCATCGGAGGCCGTTTCTCTGCCCACACAGCGCTGGTTTCGGTGGGGAACGCACCCTTTCCCTGCCTCCTGAGCAGGAGGACTGGGCTGTCAGTGCTTCCACTGGACTCCCCCCATGAGTCCCTGTGGCCACTGGTCTGGGGGGCTGGGCCTGGCAGACTCCGAGGCAGGGCGGTGGGCCAGCTGACGTGGGGTGGGGTTCCAGGGCGCCCCGGTAGGCTGGGAGACATGGCGGGGGGGTGGGGACTGCCCACCTTCCTCCCGGGGCCTGAGGTGGTGTCCCTCCTCTCACCGGTGACAAAGTGTGTCCCCTCCCTCTCTCACACAACCTCACTTGAAAGAGATTTGTTCAGAAATGTGCAACATTCCTTTCAAGATGACCAGGTGCTAATAGTTAACATGTAATCTATTTTTTTACGAAGGCAAATTGAAGGGAAAATGGTTGAGATTTCCAGACTCCAAGAGATATTTACAGAAAAGGTGTTACAACAGGTAAGAAAAACAAGAGCTGCTTTAAGTTCTAGCTCAAAAGAGGAATATTCGAAGAACTCGGGGCACTTCCGAAGCCGTCTGACGTCACAGCTGTGCGCGCGGGCGGAGGTGGGGTGGGGCAGCGGACAGTGCGCATGCGCAGAGCTCTGTGGGCAGAGCCCGTGGGGCGCCTGGGGCAGCTCTCTGCACAGACCGCCGGCGGGGCAGCCTCTCCGAGCTGTGGTTTCCCATCTAGAAAACACAGCGGTCCTTGCTCTGCATCCGGTGAGGACGCACGCAGCACGGCCGGCCCTGCGCCTGATGGGCAGTAGCTTTTTATTTATTACTGGTTTTTAATAACCAAGGGTAAAACTTAATCATGAAAACGAAGGGTGTGTTTTTATTGATTTTTTGAGAGGGGAAGGAAAAAGACTGTCGATGTAAAAGAGAAACGTCAATCAGTTGAAACGTCGATCAGTTGCCTCCCATACACGCCCCGACCGGGGATTGAACCCACAACCTTTTGGTGCGTGGGAGGATGCCCCGACCCACTGAGCTGCCCAGCCAGGGCGGGTAGGAGGCGTTTACTCAGTCTCCATGCGAGAGCCTAGGCTGGGCCTTCCTGGGGTGCCCGACTCACAGCACCCCCGGGCCCCGTCCTCGCAGGAGTTACGGTGCTTCTCACGGATTCCCAGGGCAGGTCTCCCTCCGCCACCGAGGTTCTCCCGCCACCGAGGTTCTCCCGCCCGGTAACCGGCAAGGTCTTTACAGGTCTGATCAGCTCGCCCTTGAGCTCTCAGCCTGCCTGGACTGCGGAGGGCTTTGAAGGAGATTTTTCTCCACCGTTAACTGGACTGTGGACTCAAGACGCTGCACTCCCAGAACCCCCGCCCCGAACCACAGCCAGGGTCAGGCTGGGAACGCGGCACCGCGGGTCTGACGGCAGTTTGGAAAGTCAGGTTTCCGGGAGTCGCCCCTCTTCACAGCGCAGGGACGGCCCGGCTCCAGCAGGCGTAGTGCAGCCTGTCCTGGGACCCTAACGGTCCTCACTCCCACCTGGCACCCGAGACAGCGGCATGCGATGCCTCCATCTCAGGGTCATGGCTTGTTTTGGGAGGCGGCTCAGCCTGGTTGAAGTGCAGAGGCCGGGGACAGTCACACAGCCAGCTCCCACCTGGGCTCTCGGTCACATCCTGACGTCTGGGGCTCTCCTGAGCCCCACCTCCCTCTGCAAGCTGGGCTGGTGCCCTGCCTCCCGGACCTGGTGGAGAGGAAGTGTCCAACACGGCCCTGCCGCTTGGTGGCTGGGACTTTGGACAACTGACTAAACTCCTCTGAGCCCTAAGCCCCCCCCTTGTAAAAAGGGGTCTTGTCTGCCTCAGGTGCCGTGAGGGCTCCCGGGTGCGGGGGTGCGGACTCGCCCCTCGTGTGCGGCGGCTGCTATTTGGTGTGGGGTGTGTGGGGGGAGGTGCCAGTGCTCACGCGCCCTGTCCCTCCCCAGGAAGCCGAGATCGACAGCATCCACCAGCTGGTTGTGGGAGCGACGGAGAACATCAAGGAGGGCAACGAGGACATCCGAGAGGTGGGTGCCCTTGGGGCCCCAAGTCTGCCCCGGTGCGACCCTGAGTCTGGCGGGAGCATCAGCCGCACTGGCAGGGCTGCCCGAGCGTCTGCGTGGGCCACGCCTGCAGCACTGACCCCTGCCGTGTGCTGGACAGTCCCAGCCCGTCCCTGCCCAGCCCGGGGCTCCGAGGGGCAGGGGCTCACCTCCCTGCGGGGGGGTGTGAGTGCTTTCTCAAGGGTCTGACCTGCTCCCTAAACCCAGGGGTGGGGCGGGGCCCGGCCAGGGAGACCTGGGCATGTGGTGGGGGCCACCATAGCCAGCTGTTGGGTGACCTTTCATTCCGAGTGAATCCTGAGGCTGGGCTGACAAAGGACTGGCCACCAGGGACACCACCAGGGCAGCTGCGGTGCTTAGAGTCTGTGCTATGTGCACCCTGGCATGGAGGAAGCCCTCTCCAGGGTGTGGGAGCTCCACGTGGGGGCTGGCCGGGAGGGCAGGGCCGCCCCTTTGTCCCCTGGTGGGTTTAAACCACCACTCGGGTTTTGCTTAATGAACAGCCTTCTGCTGAGGGGAAGCCCGGGGAGCAGGGACAGTCGGGGTCACGGCCCGGGGAGGGCTTGCCCGGCCCAGCGCTGACGCCTGTGCTCCGCCCCCAGGCCATCAAAAACAACGCGGGCTTCCGAGTGTGGGTGCTCTTCTTCCTGGTCATGTGCTCCTTCTCCCTGCTCTTCCTCGACTGGTACGACGGCTAGGCGCCCGCAGACGGTGCGGGCGAGTCTCCGCCTCGGCGACGGCATGCGGTCGTGACCAGCTTCCGCCAGAGCCGTGTGCGGGGCGGGGGCTGAGACAGACAGACAGACACAGTCCGCAGGAGGGACACCCGAGCCCATCATCAGCTGAAGCAGAAAAGTGAACCCAGGCTGGAAGCGGTCAGTGCAGCGGCGATCACGGGGCAAGGTGGACGGGCAGGAGGGGCTGTCCCCGCGTCTGACCGGAGGCCGCTGTGCCCGAGGGGCCCGGGGACGGCCCAGCAGGTCCCCTGCTCCACCAACCATCCTCTCGGGGGCACTGAGGAGGGGTGCCCCCCGACTTCCTGCCTCTGGGCCGAGGAGCGTTTGTTCGGAGAAGGGGCCCCCGAACTAGCCCGTGCCCCTGACCCTCAGGGACACGTGTGGGGAACGCCCAGTGGTGGTGGGCACACGGGGCGGCCAGAGCCGCATCGTGCAGAGCGCGCTGGTGGCCACTGGGCCACCTCGGCGTGGGCGTGGCCGGCCCTGCGCTGCCCCTCGGGCAGCCTCGGGGACCCTCGTGTTCTCCGTGTGCCCCCAGAGAGTGTCCGGAGTCCCGTGTGAGCGCCCTGACCGTCAATAAAGGACCTTTCTGCTAAGCAACATGCGTGGGGCGGGCCTTGGCGCCGTGACCGTGTCTGCAGAGAGCTGGGTGCGGGAGACCTTCCCACAGGCGGGCACCAGTGTGTGCACGCTCCCCGCAGCCCCCTGCCACACGGTGTGCACTGCCTGCGGTCGCCTGCGGTCGCCTGCGGTCCCGGTCCGTGCGCAGAGGCCCTTGGGGCGGAAACACGGTCTGTCTGAGACGCACGCTCGGGAGGCGGCGTGGAGGTGGCCACGCCCGCGGCCGCCGTGCTCCTTCGCAGCGGGCCTCGCCCTGCGCCGTTTGTCCTTGGGTACTAGACACAGGGAAACCTCGGACGCGCCCGCCAGAAACAGCACACTCGGGCACAGGGAGAGGATGTCTGAGGATCTGCTCTGTTTAATCGTCTTACACACTTAGCTGTCTAACTGGCAGTTTTGTAAACATACTTTAATGTCGAGATTCGGGTCGAAACAACTTTTTACAGAGATTGGGGGTTGAGACGCCATCACTGGCCTTGCAGGGCTGCGCCAGCCCCGCCCCAGCCTCCCCTGCCTCCGTCTGACATCGGGGTTGGGGGTGGGGGGGTTACGTCTGCTCCACAAAACTAACTCGAAGTAGCCTCGGCTCACCGGCAGTTACACTTTCACTTTTCCCACCCACAAACTTCCCAAACACTAACTTGCTGACGGGGCCGTGGTGCACACTTAGTCACGACAGCTGCGAACAGAAGGGCCAGCACCGGTCACCGGTCACCGAGTGGCAGACCACCTCCAGGGAGGCGCGTCCGGCCGCCCGGGGCCCTCTCCCTCCAGGCTCCCCGCACCCCAAAAATGCCTTGACACAGTCAACATGCACCCGAGCACAACACGGCCTGACAGCTACCTGCCGGCACCTGCCCCTCCCCCCTGCAGTGCCCACCACGGTGAGCCCTGGCGGTCCCTGGCGGTCGGTGCTGGCGCCCCTGGCGAGGGCGGGGAGTGCAGCTCGCTCTGGGCAAAGCAGGGGCGCGCTAGGTGGGGGCGGGGCGGAGGTCTGCGAGCAGCAAGGCGGTTTAAAAGATCAGTTCCGCGAGTGCACCGTCTGTCTGAAATCCAGACCCCTCGCGTGTCCAGGGTAAATTCACTTTTGGACGGCGTCAGACGGACCCCAGCAGGGGGGCTGGGCTGAGGCCCCGCGACGCGGGCCGTGGGGTGGCGCTCTCAGGGCCGCGGACGCGCACTCGACTGGATGCTCGCGGGAGGTCTGCGGCAGGTTTCGTTTGCAAAGCAGCGGTAGCAGACAGAAGCGGTTGCACCGTAAATGAGTTACCTCTACATTACCGGTGGTTATGTTGCATGAAATGTCCCTCCAAGTCCCTCTGTCACCTTCGGGCGGCGCCCTGCACGGAGCCCGCCCGCCCCGCTAGGCCGACTTCTCGGCCGCCTCCGTCTCCTGCTCTGACAGCTTCTCCTCCGACAGCACGGACATCCAGGGCGACACGGAGCGGGTGATGCTCTGCTTGGCCAGGTTGTAGTGGTTCACGACGGCGTAGAACTTGTCCGGGGAGTGGGGGTCCTGCTCCGCGTAGTACGCCGCCAGGCCATTGGGGATGCACTGGGAGTTCTGGAAGACAGGAGGCCGCCCAGAGGCCAGGTCAGCTGGCGGGGGAGGGCGCGACGCAGCACCTGCCCTGGGCTCAGAGGAGACACAGCGCCCTGGGGGGCGGGCCCGGCCCAGGTGCAGGCCCACGGAACCTCGGCCCGTGACGAGGCACGACAGAGCAGTGTGTGGGCTCCCGGGGCACGTGTCACAGGGCACTGGCCTTCCCACCACACGAACGACCTTTCACTAGTGGTCACGTGGATCTAGAAGTCAGCTGAAGTTCCCACGCGCGCACCAGAAACCACACACTCGGACGAGGAGGCAAGGGAAGACAGGCTTCCCGTGAGCCAGGTCGCTGGCAGGCCTTGGGGGCAGGGTGCAAGTCTGGCGAAGGAGACCGGCCGGGGACTGGGGGCCGGGGACTGGGGGCCTGAGGGGCAGGAAGGCCCGTGGCTGCCCAGACAGGGGGTGCTGGGCATGGGGGCGAGGGGCCCAGGGTCGGGCCACACCACCGGTGGGGCCCGTGGGAGCTGGCGGGGGCGTGCCTGGCGGTGCAGGCACGGCGGGACGGCCCCTAGGCCCTCGGGAGGGCACACTGAGCGTGGTGGGATGGTCCCGGGCACGTGTCCCCGGTGAGGAGGAGGCTCCACCCCCGCAGGCCGGAGTCCAGGGCGGGGGGGCAGCCCTAGGGTTCCGTGTGAACTGCACGCCGGGGCGTGGCGCAGGAACACCAGCCCGCAGCTGTCATGAGCGCGCCGGGTCAGGGGGCCCAAGGCTGCCTCTCCTGGCCCCTGCAGATGAGACCGGGTCCCACCTGGGCCACAGCCCACGGGTTCATCACCTCCGGGTCTGGGGAGGGGGTGGGCGGGTGAAGAGGGGGTCGAGGTTTTGGGGGGAAGGGGTGTCGGGCACCAGCATCCTGCATCCGTCGGTGCAGATGGGGACGTGCTTCCCCTCAGCCCCGTGGAGAGCTGGCCCTCCCCACCGGCTCCCTGCCCCCCGGCGTGCAGGATCCAGGGACCCCTCCGTGCGCACACAGCTGCTTCCAGAAGGAACCAGCAAGGCCGGCAAGGTTTTCACCCAGTGGTTCCGGGGGGGAGCTGGGGGCCGGGTAGGAAGAGCTCAGCTTTGGAGACAGGCCGGTGCTGCGGGCTGACTTTGGCGGAGCTCACGTGCTCCCTGAGCCTCTGTTCCCTCACCTTGAACGCGGGGCTGAGCCGCCCTGCCCAGGCGGCTGTGAGGGCTGCAGTCATTGCTCAGTAGCTCAAGGGGGAACCGTGAAGGGAAGCCCTTCCCCCGTCAGTGTGTCACCGCCAGCCGGGACCCCAGCTGCGCCCCCAGCCGTGCCCTGAGCCTTGCAGCCCAGCCTTCCTGGCCAGCCCAGGAGGCGGGGCCAGCTCTGCAGCCTCCCCCTCGCCCCACCTCTCCCCCGGCTGCTGGGCGGCGGAGAGTCTGCCCCAGGCTGGGCAGGGCTGCACGGGGACAGGTCTGGCAGGCAGCCTGGGTGCTGGGGGGCCAGAACCCCAGGGCGAGGAGGGCTCCAGAGCCGCCTGAAAAAAGGTGGGGAAGGGGGCTCCCCAGGAAGCTGCATCCTGGCCCCTCCCAGCCAGCTCGATGGAAAGGAGAGCTCTCGTCCCCCGTGGGGGTCCAAAGGGGGTCGTCAGCGGGGCCCCATGCCTCCTCCCTCCGTGGGAGACGAAGGAAAAAGGGGCCCTGTGGCGTCACCCAAGAACACACGTCCCCAACGGCCTCGACCCACCTGGGTCCCCACCGGTGAGTTCTCTCAGGGGAGCTCCACCCAGAGGAGGGGTGCGTCCAGGGACTGTGCGCCAAGGTGGGGAGCTCTGCTGTGCCTCCTGGGGGCATTCTCATTGGCCCAAGGGCTAAACAGACCCCTCCTAGGATCCCGGCCCCCAGGAGCGGGTGGCCCCGGGCCCTTCCCAGCACTTGGCAGTGTCCGGACAGGGGTCTGTGTGCTGCACCTCCGCACAGGCGGGGCCCTGCTGAGCCCATCACGCGCTGCAGGGGGCTGTGCTGGGGAGCACACTAAACGTGCGGGGCGGGGGGGGGACAGTCAGGGTGTGACCAGGCAGGACGGACTGCGTCTGGTGACGGCAGGGGGCACACACAGGTGCACAGAGGGAGGGAGGAGACTCCCCACACTCGCACCTCCCCTTCCTCCGACTTCAGCCCAGTGCACTGGGATTCGGACCAGCAGCTCCCAGCACCCCAGCACCCCCAGCACCCCCAGCTGTGTTCTCCAGGAAGGACCTCCTGCCGCCACCCCTCCCCGCATTAGATGCTGGTGGAAAATGCCAGTCCCCGGAGACGCAGCTGCAGAGCAGGCCGTGAGGGACGCTGCATCCCCAGGCCGGCTGTGCACAGGATGCCCCGGACCAGGGTGCCCGGCAGCCCTTGGCCTTGCAGGAGGGCCGGTGAAGTCTGCCCTTCCACATGGGGAGCTCGTCCCGGGCCCAGAGAGAGAGAGCTCCTGTCCTGTGACCGGTGCACAGTCCGGACGTGCGCCAGCCCTGCTCCCACACCCCGGGTGGCCCCAGGCCGCCCCTTCCCGTGCGGCCTGCCACACCGCAGTGCCCCCATAGGTGTCCCTCCCACAGGAACCCTTCCCAGGGACCCTCGCCAGCCTCGGTGACGGCTGCTCAGGGGCCTGACCGTCCCTCTGGGGCTTCAAAGTCCAGTAGGACCCGAGGTCCAGTGAGACCCGAGGGGCAACGTGTCAGAGGTGGGGAGGGGGCGGGCAGCGCTTTACCTTGAGGACGAAGCCGTCGGGGCAGAGGCGCTCGTACTTGTACACCTTGTAGACGACCAGGAAGACGACGCAGGTGAGGAAGGCCAGGGCGATGAAGACCAGCACGGAGACCTGTGGGCAGAGGGGCGTCAGCGCGGCCGGGGCCCACGCACCGTGCACACGCACACACACACGTGCGCGGGCACACGCAGACGCTGTGTCGGGGAGGAGGCACAAAAATGAGGCACCGGGAGGCCTGGGGGACGAAGGTGACCGAGTCGCTGTTCACTGGATGACTTTCTGTTCCGTGTCCGTCCCCGCCACGGGCCCACGTTGCCCTCGATTTTGTAAACCAGCATTTTCAGGGCTCCAGGCCCTCCGTCAAAGGCTCCAGGTACACACATGACCGAGCCTCACGGTCACTGGGACACGGGATGGACGGCTGCCCGTCTGACTGCCGCCAGCCACCAAGGCGACGCGGCTGCCACCAGCTCGTCGGCCGTCCCAGTGTCTCACGAGGCCTGACCGCCAGCCCTGCCCCTGAGCCGGGGCAGCTGGGCCCCCGTCCCCTCTGCCCCGGGCAGTGTCCCCGTCCCGGAGGGCAGTCCCGCGTACACAAGGACTCGGTGCTCATCACTGCCAGGGGCCGAGCGCCAGCACAGTAGGTGCTCAGCCGGCGTCTGCAGGTAAATGCAGGGCACCCATGGGAAGAGCACGGCGGTGTAAGGTCCTGCCCAGCTGGAGGGCGGGGGGCCTCGAAGGTGGTCCCCGTCAGGGCTGTCACCCTCTTTCAGGGCCAGTGGCCTCCAGGCTGTCCGGACGACGTGCACTGCACGTGGGCCCCACGCCTGGCGCCGGGAGCCTGGCAGGACGGAGCCACGGCTGCCTCGGGGCCGAACCCCACGGGGAAGGTGCCATCCCGTTCTGGTGGCAGGGACACAACCCCACGGCCCTGTGTGTGAGGCCGGGTGACGGGGGGTCTGGTCACCCAGAAAGGGGAGGCTCCGAGCTGCACCCCGGCTCCGCCCCTGCCAGCCGCGTATCTGAGGCCGCCTGCGTGTCCCTTTCCTGAGCAGAAGACTCGCGCATCAGGACAGTGACGGGAGGTGAGGAGCACGCTGTCACCCCAGGTGCTGGGCCTGCTGCGGGTTCCGCTGTGTCCCCCCAAAATACAGCAGCCCCGGCCCCTGGTACCGGCAACCTCATTTGCAAATAGGGCCCCTTTGCAGCTGTGATTAAACTAGGTCGAGGTCATCCGGGTGGGCCCTTATCTGCAGCTGCGGGCGAACCGCCTCCCACGGGAAACCGGGAGAAACGGAAATTGCAAGGGGTCCTGAAAAGCCGAAGCAGTCTTGAGAACAGAAGCCACTGAACGACTCGCCCTCCCCAACTGCAGAACGTCCCACAAAACTACGGTGCCCAAAGCCACGCGGGGATGGCAGAAGAACGGCCACATGAAGCAGTGGCGTGGACCAGAGTCAGAGACACAACCAGGCGTCCGTGGTCAAATGACTTGCGGTCACCGGTGCCAAGGCCGTTTCACGGGGCGAGAGCAGTCTCCTCAGCCCGTGGCGTCGGGACACCTGGACCCCCACCTCACACCACGTGCTGAAGTTAACTCAAAGTGGAACAAAGACCTACGGCTAAAAGCTAAAGCTGTAAAACTCTTAGAAAAAGCGCCCGGGGAGCTCGCAGTGGCACGGTGGTAGCGGAACAGGCAAGCGTCCATGCCGGGCGAGTAGGTGGCGCCCCGAGGCCACCCACCCACCGGGCAGCCGCCGCGGAGAACAGGGTCCTCGATGTGTCAAACGTGACGTCGCCGCGTGAAGGGCAGCCCCGCTCCCGGGGGCAGGCCCGAGACCACCGAGCACTGGTGCTTTCTGGAAGGAACAGCCAGGCACGGAGGGCAAATGGGATAGGTGGGCCTTGGGTGCATTCGGAAGGCGTCTGTAAGGAAGGGACCGTGGGTCCTGAGTGCTCGGGACAGTCCTGGCTGAGTCCTGCCTGGGCGTCCCAAGAGTGCTGTGTCCACTGTCGCTCGGAAGAGGCCCAGCCGGGCCGCTCGGCCCGCAGGGAGGGCCGGCCGGGCCCCAACCAGTCCTGCGTGCGTTCGCTGTGCGAGCTGGGCGTGGGGAAGCGCCCACCGCAGACACGAGGGACCAGCGTGGCATTGCACTTGGCTGTGTTCCCGTCTGCTCTTTCCGGCCTGGGGTCTCCTCTCCTGCTGGGGGTCTCCTCTCCTGCTGGGGGTCTCCCAGGGGTGACAGCCCCGCTGGGGTGGGGCCTCTGGTGTCTGCAGCCCAGGTGGGACAGTCACGCCACAGAGCCCACGCAGCCTCAGGTGCGGGACACAGAGCCCGGTGGGCTTGGTGTGGGAGGAGCGTCTGTCCAACCTACTTCCACCCCTGGCGAGCCAAGTGACCTTGAGCCTGCTCCTTAACCTCTGACCTCAACCCCCCCAACACCAGGGCAGCAGACCAACCCTCAAAACTGACAGGAACAGTCCTCGTGAAGCTGGGGGCCCACGGGCACCGCGTGGACGGCGGCTGGGCTGTTCTTACTCTGGTCGCTGTCCTCCCACCCCCGGGCGGGGCGGGGGGGGGGTAGAAATGTGCATTTCCACCGAGTAATATGGTAAAAAAAACCCGGGAGAGAGGGTGCATCCTGACATCACCCAGTGTCTGCAGCGCTAGGTATTCTGGGCAGCCCACCCAAAAGCAAACACACAGACACCCCACCCCACCCCCACCCCACCCCGCAAGGCGACCCCCAGACCCACTCACCACCCAATGCTGGGCAGAGCCCTCACTCGCCAGCTGGGTCAGAGGACGTGGGCTCCACACCCTCCAAACCGGGGCCGAACCCCCACAGGTGCGCAGCAGAGGGTAGGGGTGTCCAGAGGCACCTCGAGGAGCTCCGGGCCACCGCCGAAGGCCCCACCGCTGAATGCCAAGGAGACGCAGTACCGTTCATAAATATTTAACAGGTGCGTCTGGGAGCACAGCCGGGGATTACCGGGGCGTGTGCTCAAGGTCACGCAGATGTGAGAGAGAGACGCAGCCCCCCTGCAGACTCACGTGTGACGGGGTGCGCAGGGACGCCCCCTGCCGCGTCACCTGCCAGCAGTGGGGACCAAACGAACATGGCCTCTCCCGCTAGGGCGCTCCCCCAGCTGGAAAGACACTCCGGCAGGCCGACCTTGGGATCTCATAGAAGCCCGGAAGGCGGCCTGGCGGGGGCGGTCTGCTCTCCCAGACCCTCCGCTCCCAGAGGGAGGGCGTGCGGGCTCGGCAGTGTCAACCGCCCGGCAGCCACACGGCACACGGGGTCGGCAGCACACGGCCGGGCCCTCCCGCCGCTCCGCCCCGTCGTGGCCGGTCACCGTCCCTGCCCAAGCTGGGCCAGGGCGGTGAGCCGCAGCCCCAGCAGCCCCGACCCACCGCGCTGCGTGGGCGGGCCCGAACACGCAATTAAGAACTGTTTATTCGCGGCATAAACACGCCTCCAGTGGATGGAACAACGGCTTTTCTCGTTGACACGAATGTCTCCAGAAGCCTGGGGGTTTGGCCACCGCGGGCGGAGGGGGGCGGGGTTGGGATGAGTCTGGCAGTCTTAGAAACCCGGCCCTCGGTTACCTAGCAACCAGCCTAGCAACCTCGCGGCCCCGGGATGAGTCCCTGGGCGATCCCCCTGGGCGATCGCCGTAAAGGAACGTCCAAAAAGGCATCGTGGCTCAAGGACGCCATCCGAGGCCGCACAAAGAGGGGCTCGGAGCGGCGGCGCCTCGCTCCCGCGCCACGCGACTTAGAGACAAAGGGACGTTCTGTACTCGTTGCTCCCACAGCTGGAAGGCCCCAGCTCGTTCCGAGAGTCACTCGTGGGAGAGGACGGCAAGAACTGAGGAGGTGGCTGGGGCGGGGACAGACGCGGTCCGGCGGTGTCACGGGGAGCATGCGAAAGGCCGTCTGTCCCAGTGTTCAAAGAGAGGGTCCACAACCCCGACCCGCCAACGCCTCCCATGGGATGCCAGGGACAAAACAGCAATGAAAGGCCAAGAGAACATTCCAGAAGAGCGAGCACTCAGCATTTCCGGAGGCACCAGCCCCCCTGAGCCTGCCCCGACCTGGTGCTGGAACGCACCCCCTCCACAAGGGGTCGCTAGGGAGCTCGCTGCAGTGCACACTCCCAGGGCTGGCCCCTGTGTTACACAGGCGCCCCCCATTCCCCCCCCCCCCCCCCCGCTGGTACACAGTGGGGAGCGGCCGGGCAGAGCCTCCCCCCCTCTTCAGGAGGGACGCGCAGCACAGGCCGGCGGCGCCTCTCACAACGCAGGCGGTTCCCCTGGCCGAGGGCAGCCCACGGGCCTCCCGGTCACAGCGCTGGGCTGCCGGGGTTCACAGCCCGCTGCCACTCCCCGACCGCGTGCCCCAGGCAGGTCACCTGCCCTACTGAGGGGGAAGTGACAGCCTGAGGCCAAGGCAGAGAAGGCTCTGTGGAGAGCTGCCCCTGAACCAAGAAGTGAGGGCCGCGCGGGCAGGGGCCCCTCGGTTTCACACGGCCTCCCGCTGACCTCACGGGGGCGCCGGGTCGCGGCCTGGGCAGAGCACAGCCCCTGCGAGCAGGGAGCACGGAGCAGGGGCAGGGGGGCGGGGGCACCCCGCTGCGAGGGAAGAGACCAGGGGAAGGTGACGCTGACGCTGACACTGGACGGCCACCCGCTCTGTGGGCCGCTGAGGCGGGCAGCTGGCCCGTGTGGTTCAAGGTCGAGGGGCTCCTGGAAGCACCAGCCCAACCTCAGCAGCCTGGGGTGAGAGCGCCCCCGGCAAACCCGCCCTCCAGGAGCAGCCACGTGACCTCAGGGGTCACAGCCAAGGGCAGGCTGTCTGGACCCGCTCTCTGCCTCGGTTTCCCCTCGGCAGCACGATGGGGACGATCCCCGTGCCTTCTTTCAGGAGGACTCAGGGAGACAGTACGCATCACAGGCTGGACCCAGAGTGTGGCGCGTGGGAGCAGGCCACAGTGTCGGGCGCCGCCACTGCCCCCCGAGAGGGCGGGGACACCTGGGGGTGAGGTGACTCCTCGGCAGCTTCGTGGGGGAGGTGCTCTGCGAGCTGGCACTGGAGGGGGGTGGGGGTTGGGAGCTGGGGGTGGGGTGTGTGCAGTGGGAGGCCGGTGAAAGTCCCCGGCTGCCTGGCAGGGAGTGCCCCAGCCCCCACCAGTAACCGCCTGGGACTCAACGGCTTCATCTGTGACCGGGGAGCACCCGGCCCGCGTGTGCGCGGCCCCGGGGAGAAGGGCGCACTGCAGGGCCGCGAGGTCCCGGGCCCCACTGCACCGTCACCTCACACATCCCCAGGGGGTAGGAGCAGAGACGGGGCGGGGTTCTGCCGCCACCGCTGGTCCCCTGGGACGGGCACCGGTCCTCCGGGGTCCTCTGGGCCCAGGCCCTGGGCAACAGGAGCCAGGTAACCAGAGGCCCAGCTGCGGCTGCCGAGAGCCCTGGTGGCCAGGTGCGTCACCGGTGCCCTAAACAAGGGACCTGGGGACTGGCACCCAGGGAGCACGCAGGAGAGACACAAATGAAGGACACCAGGGCGGGGGGGGGGGGGACACAGGGCCTGGCACCCGGTGGGCACTCCACAGGAAGAGACCGCTGTTCAGGCACCCCCTGCACCCGTGCACACGCCACAGCAGGGCTGGGAGAGGCACAGAGCAGAGCAGGGGTGGCCCGGGATGGCGGGGGTGGCCCACCGTGGGGACGATGCCATCGCAACCTTCAAATCCAGGTCCCTTCTGCCTCAGCCGGGGGATGACCCCAGGGCAGGACCCGCAGCCGCAGACCGACCCGGGCCCCAGCTTCTCCCTCTGCAGAATGGGCCGTGCGAGCAGCACTTAGCTCTGCGGGGAGGGCTGGATGGGCGAACACAGGGAAACGCCCCTCCCCCAAACCTCGGGTGGGGTCCGTGGGCTGCGCGGGCCTCTGCAGGGCTTTCCTCCCGCCCAGCGGGGCAGCGTGGAGCCACGGGGCGGGGAGCAGGGATGGAGGGTCTCGCCCTGGCTGCCCCAGCCGCCCCGCAGGGCCCCTCACCTCTTCAGGCCTCGCTTCCATCCGTGACCCACCCCCGCGTGGTCGCGGAGCCTGGGCGGGGCCCCGTGTGCAGGCAGTGCAGACGCCCCAGCCCCGGGGGGCGGGGCGGGTGAGCACCTCCACACCCCGCACCAGCAGAGTGCCCACGCATCCTTGGAGAGCCGGCCGGGCTGCTCCTCGGGGCCTGGCGACCCCCGACCTCCTCCGCATCACCCCCTCCGGTCTGCACGGGGGGCTGCCCTCCCACTGCGCCGGCTCTCGTTTCAGGAAGACCAGGATCCTAACTTGTTCCTCGACCTACGCAGCTATTTGCACCCCCAGGGGGCACCGCCCCCCCCCGCCCCCCCACCGCCCCGCCTCTGCCTGGTGGGGACCCACGTTGTCCGGCAGCTGCGCCTCCCCAGAAAACCGACCGGAGCGAGGCTTCCGGTCCCCACCTGAGTGTGTCCAGCAGCCCGTGTCCAGAGGGCCGGCCAGCCTCACGACCCACGCCACGTCGGGGTGGCATGGGGTGGCTGAACGCCGGGCTCTGGGCCCTGGCCCTGCCATGGGCAGCGGTGACCGCTCTGTGCCTCCACTTCCCCATCTGCGAAATGGGCCATCCCATGCACCCCGCCCTGGCGGGGGGGGCAGTGTAGATGAGCTAGCGCCCATGCAGGGGGGCTGGGGTCCGTGCTGGGCAGGCGGCCAGCGGGACAGTTACCCTTCCGTCACTGTTTCCCTCCCACCACCGCTAGGCCGAGATCTCCAGGTTTGCTGCATGGCTTTGCACATGTTTAGGACCGTTGTCCACAAGAAAGTTCAGGGGTGGGCTTCCCCCGTTTTTAAAACTAAGTAGCACGTGCTCATTTGGGAGGACGAAACACGAAGAACTCTCTTAAGCCACGAGTGGTCTGGCACGGCGGGGGTCACGGGATCAGCCCAGATGAGTGGCATCTCATCCTGTCCCAGTCTCTCCCGGGTCACCCCTGCAGCTGGGGACCCTCCTGAGGTCCCGCGGCACCCCCTCCCCCGCCCTGCAGGGCCCCTCACCTTGAGCCGCTCCGACATGCCCTCGGTGATGCTGACGGTGAACTCGGCGATCTTGTGCACACGCCCCTTGCCCTTCTTGCGGTCAGGCTCATACTCGGTCTTGGTCTTCACGACCACCTTGTCCAGGAAACAGAAGCGAAGCTTTGGTCAGTGGGCCGCCAGGTGCCTCCCGACACGCCTGCCCGTGCGGACACGCGTGTGAGAATGCTGGTGTTCCCAGTCACCCACCCTTTCACCAGGAACCAGTTCAGACAAGAACCAGGACAGCCCCCACCCTCGGCGGCCTCCCCTGTGCCTGGACTTCCGGAGAAATTACCCACGAAGGACCCCGACAGCGGGGTGGGGGGCGGGGGTCGGCGGTGGAAACTGCGGGGCGGAGTTCAGCTCAGGGCCAGGGCCACACAGCTGGTAGGCGGTGGGCTGAGGAGCTGCACCCGCCCGCTTCCTCCCCACCCGCTGCCCTGAGCCCTTCCCTGGCCCAGGGGGTGCAGGGGGGTGAAGGGTGCTTCTGGGTCCCACTGGCCCCCAGAAGGAGCCAGGGGCTTTAAAAGGGGAGACAGTCTTAGGACGCTGTTTCCTCCAGGGTCGGGCAGAGGCCGGCGCCGGCCTTCAAGGAATGTGATCTCGGTCCCTCTGTCTGCCCAGCGCCTCCCTCCCCTCTGCTGTGGGGCGGGTGTCCCCAGCCAGGAAGTCCGCCCGCCCCACCAAGTCCCACGAAGACCCCTCCCCGCCCCCACGCCAGGCTCAGAGGCCTCAGCCCGCCCCTTCCTGCCTCCTCACTGCTCCTGCCCTCCCCACACCCAGTGGCCGGGGACTGTCCACTTCTGTCCCCACTGGACGAGGCGGCGTCCAGGAGCGGGGCCCGGGGGTCACAGGTCTCTGGTCCCCAAGCCGCCACCCCCAGGCAGGAGCCAGAAAGGGTGTGTTGAACTGGGGAGCCCCACCCCCACTCCCCCTCCCACCCCCGTGACCACGCCCCTTCGCCGGGCAGCCCGTGGTCTGGGATGGGGGCAGTTCTCCGCGATGGTGGGGCCCGGGCAGGATGAGGAAAACCTCTCAAGTCCGACGGTCACCTGTGGGCCAGCGGCCGGAGGGGCTCCCGCCCTGAGCGGGACCCTGGGCCCGTCTCCTGGAGAACGTGGCCCGTGTGAGTGTCCCTGGAAAACGACCCCCGGGGTCACGTCCTTGTAACCAGCTCTCGCCTTCCCTCCGCCCCCGCCCTCCCACGCAGAGGGGCGCGAGCGCCCAGCGCAAGGGCAGCCTGCGTCCCACCCCGGGGAGGCCCCGGTCAGGGGGCCACGTTCGGGCACCTCCCTGCCGCCCACCCTGAATTCCGGCCGAGCCCAGCTAGCTGTGTGACCTTGCTAGTCCACACTCGGCCACGCGGGACCTCAGCGTCCTCGCCCGGCAGCACAACAAGCCCATCCGGGTGGGCTACGTGGGTGGGGCGAGGGGTCCGCAGAGCCTCAGCCCGGTGGGGGCTGCTCCGCGCCCCCTCCGCCCGGGTTCGGTCTGCATCTGCCGCCACTAACAGGCCGGGGACCGCGGGCAAGCCCCTTAAACCCTCTGGGCCTGCGCTCCGCCCGGTCCCACGGAGTGACCAGGGCGCCGCCTGGAGAGGTCGGCGGGGCCCAGGAGTTCACACCCGGGAAGCCCACCGCCCAGACTCCGGTGCGAGAGACACAGTCGGGGCACGCGGCCTGGACCCCGCTGCCGTCCCCGCCACCGCGGTCACTGTCGCACCTCCGGACCCGAGGCACGGGCTCGGAACAGAGTCCGCCGACAGACACCCCTAACTGCCTCTTCAGCCCTCGGGCACCGTGTCCGGTGGGACAGGTGACACCCCCGCCCCCACCCCGCAGCCTGGCTGCAAGCAGCCCCGAGCTGCCGTTCGGGTTCGGGCTCCGGGGGCGGGGGCCTCGTCCGAGGCGTCTGACTCCAGCGGGGGCGCCGGAGGCCCCGCCGGAAGCGCCTGCGTTCCGGAAGTCGGGCGCGCGGGCCAGTGACCTTGGGCTCGGTCTGTGCGCGGCTCTGACGCTGGGCCTCCTCCGCGGCGGCCCCCGGAAGCTCCGACACCACCCTCGGCCCCTGCCAGCTGCTGCTCCCTGCGCTCGAACACCCCCAGAGACGGGGGACCCTTTACCTTTGGGAGCTGCCTCGGCGGCCCCGCTGGTCGGCTAGGGCCCCTCCCTGCCTGACCTCCCCCCGACAAGCCTGTGCGCCGGACAGTCCTGCAGCGGGACAGTCTGGGGGCGAAGGAGCAGGGTCAGGGTGAAGGGAGGGGTCACGGACAGGCCCTGCTTGGACCTGTCACTCTGGGCTCGGGCCGCCCCACTCCGGGGGCAGTGGAGGGGGCTGCGGGCATGGGGCCGGGCTGTGCAAACCGGGCAGGTGTGCCCCTACGTGGCCCAGCCCCTCCCAGGCAGCCCCCTCTGGGCCCTCAGTGCCCCGGAAGGACTCCAGCCACGGCCCAGGTGCACGGGTGACCAGGGGTCCTCCTTGCCCGACCTGAAGGACCTGTGCTGCCTGGCTCCTGCCCCGCCCCCCCCCCCCCAACCGACAGCGCAGCTGGGGAGCAGCCCACTGTGTGTGTGGGGGGGGGGGGCGAGCGAGTGAACCTCTCACAGGGCCCACCCCAGCAGTGAAGGGATCACCGAGAAGGTAAGGACCCACCACGGGAATGAGGACCCCTGGGAGTGACCCCCCACCCTCATGGCCAGCCCTCACCAATGAGCCCAAACAAACAACCGCGCCTGAGTCAGAGCCTCCTCACCGGACACGGGGACGAGGTGGCACAGCAGGCGCAGCTGCACTTCACTCGGGGAAGGGAATGTCCTCGTTCATTCATGTCCCTCGTTCATGTCCCCATGGCCGTGGCCGTGGCCGTGACCATGGTGGGGGTGGTTTTCATGAAGCAGCAAGGTGGTGTGAGAGGGTACTGTTCATTATTTTAGGTTTGTATTTTACAACACAATTGTGCGAGCTTTTAAGCATCGTGTTGACCATTTCCAGTGTTAACTCCTGAAAATATTATCCCTAAATGAGCACAAACTACTTGACTGGGCGCTGTCTTCAACAAAAGACAGGATCCTTTAAATTCAGGAAAAAAAAAAAAAATAGAACCCTCCACCGCCTGGGGGTGGTCCCCAGCCACACAGACAGCGACGGCGCGGGCAGGAGGGAGCGCGCGCTGGGAGGTTTCACAAAAGGAACAAAGGAGGAGGCGGCTGGGTGTGAGCGCACGCAGCCCGCAGCGTCCACCGCCGCCGGGGAGGGGCGGCGCCTCGGGCTAAAAAGAGGATTCAGTGCCGGGAGGGGCCCCGGCCGAGGAGACCGGCCTCCCCACCGCCGTGGGGCAAATCAGGCTGAAACGGAACCACCTGGGACCGCACGAGGGGCAGCGGGTCCTGCGCTCACCCCAGACCCAGGGCCCCCGCGTGCCATGGGGCAGGCCGGGGAGGGGCAGCGCTGGGGTGCAGCTCCGGGGGTGGGGGAGGGGGCGCGGGGCAGAGACATCTCTCCGGCAAGACTCCCCCGAAAATTGAGAAGGGGCCTTTCCCGCTGCGCGCGCTCCGTTGTCTGCACCGAGCCGTCACTCCAGGCCCCCAGATCAGCGGATCCAGAATGCCGCGCGGGGACGCTGTCCCGGGGGAGGGCTGGCCCCCAGCACGCCCGAGCCCGCCCCACTTCGCGTCCCCAGCGCACGCGGCAGGTTCTTTTGTTGCAGCCGCCGCCCGGGATTTGGGGGTGCGCACCCGGCAGAGCGGGGTGCGGGGCCTCTCACCTTATCCGGGGGCGGGAACTGCAGCTGATTGACATCGAGGGGCGTCATCAGGGGGATGGTGTCGAAGCCATCCTCCAGCAGCACCTGCTTGGTGCCCTTCTCCGCGAAATTGCTCCCCAACTTCACCATGGTTCCGGGAGACCCGAGGCTGCCGCCTGCGTGGGGAGAGCGGGACGGGAGTCACCGCGAGCAGGACCCGCCCGCCGTCCCCAACTCGCCAGCCGCCTAGTCTCTGGGGAGGTGCAGTGCGGACGCGGCGGTCCGGGCCCCGGGCGGGGGATGCTGTGCCTGCACAGGCTCCGGTCGCGCCGGACGAAAGCGCAGGGACGCCCCGCGGGCGGGCGAGGGGGCGCTGCCCCTGCCCGGAGGGTCGACACGCGTCCCTGGTCCTAGCACCACTGCGCCCGAGACCCCCGTCCCTCCCGCCTGGAAAGACTGGCGGCCCAGCCCCGGCCCCGCGGCCGCCCGCACCTACCGCGCCCGGCTCCGGCAGGTCTGGGCTCCGACGCGCTCCGAGCCTCCGCGTCCCCGCTCTGCTCGCAGCAATGGCGAAGGCGGTGCCGCGCGGCCGGGGCGGGAGCCAGCGATTGGGCTCGGCGGCAGCCCCCTCCCCCTTCCCCTTCCCCCTCCCCTCCCGCCTCCCTTTCTGCCTCTCCCGGGGGCTAATTGTGCGCCGGTGAGTGTGTGCGTGTGGCCGCGGCGCCCCCGCCTTGACGCAGCGCGCGCGCGCGTTGCACAAAGGAGCTCGGGCGGGCGAGAGGGGGGCGCTCCCCGGGGACCCCGCGCCGCAGACTGGGGGGGGAGGGGGCGAGGAGCGGGACGGGAGCGCGCCCCGGAGTAGGGATCGCGGCGGCGGAAAGGCGCCCGGGGGCTGGAGGCCGGGGATGCGGGAGGCGGAAAGAGGGCTGCGCAACCCTGGGGCGGCGGCCGGGGCGCAAGGCCAGTCGTAGCGGAAAAGGGGAATGTCCTAGGGACGGAGTGACCCCGACCCCTGAAAGCGGGGGAGGGTACTTCGTCTGCGGCCGCTCTGACCTCGGGGTCTTGAAAGATGGGGAAACGCTTGGGTGGCAGGGGGTTTACCGGAGGCGGTGGGCGTGGCAGGGACGGAGCGTTCCCTGAGCGCGCAGCTGGGCTGGGGAGGGGGAAACAAAGGAGGGCGCGTCCCAGTATAAAGAGGGCACAGATGAAAAGGGTGGGCGATGTGAGGTGATGAGGGGTACGCTCTCCAGCGCTGAGGACAGTGCCCGGGGGGCAGGGGGCGGGTACGTCCCGGGGTGGTGGGAGGGAGGGTGTTCTAGGGAAAGAGCGCTTGGCGCGCCGCGTCGGAGGGAGGGGAAAGGTTTCTCTGGTCCGGTCGGAGGAGAAAGCAGAGGCCCCCTTTCCACAACAGCAGCCCCCAGCATCCCGGGCGCCTCTAGAGGAGGCACGGGCTGAAATGAAGGAAGGGGTCTAGCCTCCCTCCCGGCCCCTCCCCACCCTCCGCGGGCACTGGGCGGCTGGCACAGTGAGGCCCATTTTGCAGACTTCCGGCCAGTCCGGCTGCAGGACCCGCAGGTGCACGGCTGCCGCGCTGCGGGCGCCGGACGAGGAGCTGCGGGGGGAGGCCGCGGCTGCGGACACTCTGCCTCCCCAGGCACCTGTGTCCTGCTCTGGGCCCGCACAGAGTGGGTGTCCCCCGGTCTTAGGGTCACAGCCTCCCCGGGTTCCCCCTTTGCCTGGCTGATGGCCCCAGCCCAGCGTTTTCCAGGAGCCGACTGACAACCGTGAGAGAACCCCCCCCCCACACACACACACAGTAAACCGAGAGGCGCAGTCACCAGCCACTGCCCAGAGCCCTGGCTGGTCACCTGGCCCGGGCGCCGCCCCTTTCACCGGTGAGGTAACCGGGTTCCTCTTCGCGCACCGCAGGCCCGCGCAGGGTCCCAAGTGGGCCTTCAACGATGGCAGGGCAGCCTGACAGGGCCCAGGCTCTGAGCGGACGACCCCTGGCCGGCCCAGGGAGGGCAGGGGTGCTGGCAGCTGACCCATGCCACCAGCCCGGGGCCTGGCCCCAGCGCCCTTTTGTCAAAGGCCCTGGAAACAGGACCGATGCACGGAAGGGGCCCTCTGTGGGTCATTCGGGTTCTCCCCTGGGGGGGCACCCCACAGCAGGGGAGCAGGGGAGGACAGCAGTCGGAGCTGCTGCGCGGCCGCCCTGGGGCCCTTTCCCAGCTCACGGGGGGTCAGGAGAAGCCCTGGGGCTCCAGGGAGGAAGCTGGTTTGCCCCCGTCTCCGTCGCCAGCAGTTTAAAGGCCCCTGGCACACATGAGTGCACTCACACAGGCTCGTGCACACGCACACACTGGTCAGAGTCCCACACGGGCTGCTGCAGGGCGGGCCGTCCCAGACACTGTGGGGCCCTCTCCCCTCCAAGCGTCTGTCGCCTGAGGAGCACAGAGATGACAGGGACTTGTGGTTGTGCCAGAGACAGCCACGGACAGTCCCCGTGCCGTCCCGGGTTTTGACTGGTGCTGGTCATTGGGGCTTTGCAGCCTCGTCCTGCAGGAGGTGTTCTGTGGGTGTCCGCGGTGCGCTGGGCCCTGTGACCGTCACACACAGGCCGTGCACAGGCACGGTGCACGCCCACCCCCCGGGAGCGTAGGGAGGGGGGAATGGACCGGCCAGTCTTTGAGCGAAGCAGTGAGCCCACGGGGGGCGGTCACCCCCACCACCAGGGGGCAGGGGGTAAGGGATAGAGCCCACAGGGGAGGCCCGAGGGACAGCCGATTGGACCCGGGGCGCAGGGACGGCGTTCCAAGTGGGGGACGGACGGGATGAGCGCAGCATGCCACACTCTGGGTGGCTGACAGCAGCAGAGGTGTATGACTCTCGGTCTGGAGCCCGGACATCCCAGAGCAAGAGGTCGGCAGGTCAGCGGGCCACCCTCCCCGTGGGACAGCCTCCTCCGGATCCCAGTGGCCCCGGCCGTCCCCGGCCTCTGGCCGCGTCACCCCAGTCTCCGCCTCTGTGGCCACACTGCCTGCCTCTTTCTCTGGGTCTCCTCCTGCCATCCCCACGTGGGGCGTCCAGAACGAGGTTCTCTCCTCGAGGCCTTCACGGAACCACGCCTCGTGCTGTGAAGTGTGGTGACAGGTCCCGGGGATCGGAGATGGACAGGCTGGGGGGTGGGGCACCACTGAGCTCGTCTCGGGCACCAGGCCTGCCAGGGCGCAGTGATTTGGGGAGCTGGCGGGGAGTGCAGATGGTTGTGAGGAGGGCAGGGTCTTGGTGAGACACTAGGCGGAAGGGGCCATGATCGCAGAAACGGGGACGATGGCGGCTGTGATGGTGGCTGTGGGGCGCACAGGAAAGCCACCGGGACTCGGCCACCCCCGGGCCTCAGTGTTGCCCGAGCACCCACATTCTGTCACCCCAGCCTCGCAGGATCTTGGACACGTGTTTGGTTTTTCCAAATGACTCCTAGGGACACTCCCAGGGTCACTGGTCCCAAGGCCAGACCCTCCACTGCTGGGGCAATTGCCACGACCCCGCCCCCCTGCGCCCTCCACGGGGCAGCCCCCTGCTGCTCCCCAGCACTCCAGGCCCTGCCGGTCCCCAGTCCAAGCCCGTCACCGACTTGCCCCGTCCCCCCAGTCGAAGTCCCGGCTGCTACAGCAGGAGGCTGTGTGTGACACAGTCCTGTCTCTCCCACATCCTGGCCGTGTGACTGCGGACTTGCTGCTTAGCTTCCCTGCACCTCAGTCTCCGCGTAGAGAAAATGGGGATGATGCTAACACCTTCGTCAGGGTGGCAGCGTTCTGAGAGTCCATCGAGCTATTACTGTATCTTAAAAAACAGAACCGGGGCCTGCTCTGGCTACGATCACGGCTTCGACCTCACTCGGTGCCGTGTGCTGCCTTTTCTCGGCAGCTTGGGTGGGGCCTGCTCAAGGTGGAGGGTGTCGTGGGTAGGATTAGCGCTCAGAGTGGCTAAGGAGACTCTGTCTCCAGGTCCTGAGGAGTCTTTTTGGAGCTCAGGAAGTAAATGCACAGGCCCAGGTGCCGGAGAGGCAGGCCCCGGGCTCACCCGGCAGCCCTGCCGGTAACCAGCCCACGCCCGGCAGGCCGGGTGGGAGCGGGTGGACAGCCCCGCCGTCCACATGGGGAGGCTGCAACGGCCCAGAAGTTTCTGTCCCCCTTTCCACAGCCTGTTCCGGGGTTGCTTCACCCATTTGTTCTTGTTTTTTTTTAAATTGAGATCGAATTTACAGACCACCCATCTCCCCCACTTAAAATGCACGCTTCGTTCCCATGTTTCGTTTGTCCCAAGACTGTGCCGCCCTCAGCGCTAACTCCGGAACACGCTCACCACCCCGAACGGAAGCCCTGGCCATTGGCAGCCCCTGCAACCCCCTCTCCCTGAGCCCCTCGAAACTACTACTTTATTCTGTCATTGCCAAGACAGCATTTACAAAATTGTCCAGCTCTATTGAGAAGCGTTGGCACGCAGCATTGCGCAAGTTCGGGTTTACCATGAGACGCTTTGACGTCCGTGAGCACCGTGAAACGGGGGCCGCAGTGACGCTGGTTCATGCCGCCGCCACCCACCGCGCGTGCGGCGGGGCGTCCCAGGTCCCCCTCCTCCACTGTCTGCCACTTCGTCTCTCCTGCGCACACCCTCCCGTGCAACGGGGCTCAGTGTCCCCGCCCCACTCCTCCACTCTCACAGTCACCAGTACCCTTGACACGAACTAGAGGGAAACATGGGGCCTCTGGGCTTCCGTACGCGTGGGAAGAATCAGGCCGCTCCCTCCCGTCTCCCGTTGAACCCCATACTCTAGTACCGCCCTCCCCTCCCCAAAATGCCCGCATCCAGGCCCTGACCCACCCCTTCCCCGCGCCCATTTGGCAAACTCGTACACATCCTTCAAAGCCCAGATCCAATGCCACCTCCTCCTGGAAGCCTTAAGGGGCCTCCTTTATGCTTCTCTACCCCTGAGTTTAGGTCGTTGCACCTCTTTCTAGATCGTCATGGAATCCTGGCGAAACTTGGCCTCTTGTGTCTACACCCTCCGCGCCTAGAGCAGCCGGGTGGGCACACAGCAGGGACCTGCGGCCTGCATGAAACACAGAGGCGTCCACTCATTTCACGTTCACAGTGGACTCAGACATTTAGG